GGTAACGGCCGATGCGAGGCCATCTGCATCGATGGGACCAAGCGTCTTTGTCATATCCGTGGCAAGATGCATAAGAAGGTCTGGATCGCCGCCGGAGATATCATTCTTGTGGGGCTCAGGGATTACCAGGATGATAAGGCTGATGTTATACTGAAGTATATGCCTGATGAGGCTAGGCTCCTGAAGGCCTACGGGGAGCTGCCGGAGAACACCAGGCTGAACGAGGGCATCGCTGGTGGGATCGATGAGGAGGATGAAGGCGGCGCTGATGATTATATTGAGTTTGAGGATGAGGATATCGATAAGATCTAAATGGGTTTTTTGTCGTCTTCTATTTCATGGCTGTTTTATTTTATCAATTATTATATGATGATGATGAGTGTTTCGTATTGCTTTTGGAACTCTTTATGTATTCTATATCCTTAATTGACTCAATAATAGCTGAGTTGCCTTTTTATTCAGCAGAATTATGTGCCTTTTGTATGATTCTTGTGAATTTTGTATTGAGCTGTGATGTTTGCGAATTTGATCAAATTTGTGAATGAGGTATTAACATTAAGCAACCTCCTCTTGTTTGTGTTAGATGGTATTGTTGGTGATGATGAAATTTGCTGGATAAGGATCCTCTATGGTTTCATAGAGGCTAAGGTTAAGGATACTGGAAAAGTTTTTAAATTTGGAATAAATACACTGTTAATTGTTGAATTGTTCAGTGGTTTTTTCACTGATTGGTTAAAGGGTATGGTGTGTTTGTCCTTTAGTTGCTTGAGGTAGAACTTTACCTGGCACTGGTACACACTAGCCAGCATAATTGACTGGCTCTATGGGTTTTGGTTATTGAGGGTGATTGTTATCCAGTGTTGCAATGTTATTTTCTCATGTGTGTTGCTAGGTGCAGGTGTGCTGTGGTCTCTCTTCTTTTCAATACATCTCTATCCAAGCTACTAGGTTATGTATGATTTGAAGGTTGTAAATGGTAGTTTTAATGCAATAACATTGAGTTTCATGTTTCTATATGTTGGTTCTTCATACAATACAGGTATCAGGTACGTGTATGAGCGAAAGTCTTATTGTTGATTTTTTATGGTTTATGTGTAGTTTTAATTTATCAAAACAAATGTGTGGGAAGAAGAGAAGTATACACATTCATGATTAGTTTGCTGAGCTTGATGTTTGTTATTTCTCTCAAGCGGGATCTGTCTCATTGATATTAAGTTTCCTTGTTCAACCTATAAGGTTAAAACAGCAGAGTTATTGCTGCTATATGATTGATTCCTTGTTCTTGGAGAAATGTAGTTGGTTCACCCAAAGGTCTTTTCTTTTGTATGTTGTGAGTAATCCTATATGTACTGTATTATGGCTGAATATTGTGATGCATTCATATTAACCAAGAAAATTATTACTCAGATAACTGAGCTGTGAACTTATCCCTCCACTGACCTTTTTTGATCAAATACTGAATTCTCCAAAATTTTGATTTGTGCTTTCTCCTCGGTATTACAATAGGATAGGAAAGAATAGAGAAAACCAGGGGGGAGGGAGGATTTGTAGGCGTCCCCTACTCCCCTTCACCAAAATGTATTTGGATTTAGTTACCATAAAATGGTTGAAGTGATATGCTTTGTATGTTGAGAAATGAGAATCTACCATTTTACAGATTGGTATTCAGTGTACATTAGGCGAGAAGAACTAAGTGTATCTCTATCATGGGAATTGCATTTATACTTAACACTTGGCCATAGCCATACACATAAAATTCAAACAGGGGAAGCAGAAAACAAGACAATAACATATAGAAGGCTATCCTAAATAACAGGATATAGACTCTCTTTCACATTAAGTACAGAGGAGACAGGAAGAGAATTATTACAAACAATTGAGCATGCTCTGCTAACTTCTGAATTTATTCAGATCCAGAAATCTTCCTCTTCAACGCCTCAATATCTGTAGCCAGTTCTTTCCTGCTTGACTGCAGAAATATAGAACGTTAGCCTTATATTGGAGACCAAAGCCCATCATGTGTTTTCTCAGTGTTAGCTCAAATCTAACAAACATTTGTACTAATGTAATTAAAACTTTGGGTTAAGCAAGCTTACCTTGAACAGTATGTATCTGTAGACAAACCATCCTGTGTAACCAAGCCCGACCAACTCCATTATCTTAGGAAGCTGGTGATGTGAGATGATCATTAGAATGTTCTCTTGCAAAATTAATGGTACCATGCTAATAATTTCGACATTGGGTAAAGATTTGACCTACCAGAGGGACAGAGTTAATGGCACTAACAACAATGGAGGTCAGCCACAGTGCAACTATTGCCCCACCACCATAAAGGATTACTGTGGACTTGTTTTCAACAGCATCCCACTGGAAAATCATGACAGTGGAAACGCAATTAATGTACTTGAAACTAGAAGTAGGGCTAGGTTATTGGCGCATCCTTTTTTTTCCTTTTTTTTTTTAACATAAGAAAATTTGGAGAATGGGGGATCTCATTTTAAGCCCTAAGAACGAATTGAATTTTTTATTAATTATATTTAAACACTTAAAAGTTAAGAATAAATCATTATATTCAAAGATCCGATTTAAGTTATTAACACTTTTTTCATTGTTAAGATCATTAATTTATTTATTAATTTATTAATTTATAATTTTTTTGCTTATTTGATATGTTGTTTAAAAATATATATTCATAAATTGATTTTAATTTATTAAATAATAAATATTAATTATTTAATTAATTATTAGTTATTTTTAATAATTAAATTAAAATGAAAATTTAATAATTATTGATGAATTTAACAAAGTGAACAGTGGCTATAACCATAGCCAACTAACATTCAGCTGCAGGCGAAACTCAATTACTTGTTCTCACCTTCTCCTTCAAGTCTGTGAAAACCTCCCCAGCATCAACAGGGGTAGATGTCTCATCTGTGGCTCTTGTCTGGATTAGAGTAAACCTCCTGGGTTCTGTTTTAAAGAAAAAAGTTTACGAGAATATATACATTGTACGTATGATATGAGAGAAACTAAATAGAATTTGAAGGTACCTGGGACTAGCTTCACGGAAGAAGAAAAGGAGGAGGTGGAGGGGCGAGGAGGGAAGTACGGCAAGGCAGAGCAGCGAGTGATTCTGGTGGAAGCCGGAACACGTGTAACCAACACGGTGGTGGCAGCCGCCACGGAGGATGATGATGATGATGCTGCAGCAGCAGTATACGCCGTCGCCGCCATTTGAATTTTGATGGTGTTTTCAGTATTATGTGGCCGCGCGAATGATTGGTTCTATCCTTTTTGCAGTGCAGTTTGATTTTATTTTATTTTTTTTTTTTTTTTTGTTTGAATTTTTTTATATGAATTATATCCTTCCAATGTGGTTTGGTTGGTGATGGACGACACGTGGATAGTAAGACGATTCTGATTGGCTGATTCTCTATCTGCAATCGTCTCTCTCCCTCTTCTCAGTTGTAACACTACACATAGGTTTTTTTAGTGAAAATGATTTTTGGATAATTTTTAGATAATTTTTTTATTTTATATTTTTATATAATTTAATGTGTTATTAAAATAATTTTTTTAATTTATATGATACTCATAATATTAATTTAGTTAATAATATGTAAAAAAAATATATAAAATAAGTATCCCTATAATCCCACTCTAGTTTTCGTTTGGCATGTGGGGTCTGAAGGAAGAGATATGGATAGGCTTCTGTATCCCCGAATACAGCAGACATGGTATACCAACCCCATGGAAAAACACCACATCAACTTTGTTTTTGGGTTTGTGATTGATGAAGTGTGAAATGTTGATGTGGTGTTCTTTCATTGGGTTGAGATACCATGTCTGTTGTATCTTGGGTATACAACAAACTTCCTCGTTAAGGGCACCCTTAAATTTGTAAATTTGTCAAAATTTTTTATCTTAATTTTATTGTAAATGAATTTATTTATTTATAAGTTTTATATATTATATTTATATAAAATTTTAAGTATTTATTTATTTTTAATGGTTAAAATATATTATAATTTTTTAGATAAAAAATAATTATTTTTAATAAATATTATAAAAAATAAATCTTAATTATTGAAAGTGAAAAAATAAATGGTCAAATTTTTTATCTTAATTTTATTGAAAAAGATTCACTTATATATAAATTTTACACATTATATTTATATAAAATTTTATATATTTATTCTTAAACTTTCAATGTTTAAGATTTATTATAATTTTTTAAATAAAAAATAATTATTGTAAATAAATATTATAATAAATAAATAAATTCTAACTATTAAAAAAATAATAATAAATGGTCAAAATTTTATGTAAATGTGATGTATAAAATTCATGTGAAAATAAATTTTAACTTAATATTTATTATTTAAAAAATTAAAATCAATTTATAAAAATAAATATCATCAAATATTGTAACTAATTATTTTAAAAAATTTATAAACTAATAAAAATAAAAAGTAACAATATGTCAATAACCCTAGCCGTGGAAGTGGTATAAATGATTTGGACTTGTTTTCATGAGATGTGTGGTTCGGTCCTATAACAGATAACAACCCAATTAAGCTAAGCTGGGCCAGAAGATTAAATTTTGTACTTTATCCACTAACAGCAGGCTTTCAGCAGCAAAATAGTCAGGTAATCGAACCACCGCCAATTTATCCATCTTTTTTGGAGCACCCATTAGACATTTTCAACAACGCAAAAAGAATTCAAAAGAAATTTCAAGCAACTCACAACAAATTAAAAAAAAAAAACCAGAATAAAATCGTTTGAAATTAGGAAAAGACAAGAACCCGGATCGGGTTTTCACCATGAGAACCCAGATCCCGTGAGAACCCACGGGTTCTCTAAGAGGGGGGAAGAGAAGGAAGAAGAAGAAAAAGAAGGAAAGAGGAGGGAAAAGAAGGAAGAACCGGGTAATCACCTACTAGAATTGCTTCTTGCCATGAGAACCCAGTCTCACAGTGAGAACCCGATCTGGGTTCTGACGATCAGGTTCTCACCGTGAGAACCTAGATCCCATGAGAACCCACTGGTTCTCCAAGAAGGGGGAAGAGAAGGAAGAAGAAGAAAAAGAAAGGAGGATAAAAAAAGGAAGAACCGAGTAATCACCAACTAGAATTGCAAGTTTTGTTTGCACTAATCTTAACCTCTGAGGAGAGTAAACAAGCTAGAGTAGAAAGGAGAGGAGAGAGAAAAAAAGGCTGGGTAACAAACACTGTTAGTTTGCATAACGGAGATAGGGTGTAATAAAATGTGTAACGTTAGAGTGTGTGTATATCCTTATCCTTTATGTTAATGTTTCATTTGGGGTTGACTGAAAAACCAAATATCACTCTCTTCTTTCTACTATAGGCCTTTGTCGCGAACTCACGAGCTGGGTTCGCCTAGAGG